GGGGGGGGGGGGGGAGCGACATGAAACTGACTACTGTATACGTGAATACAAATTCATTTCTCGTCGACATGTCACAGGGGCTTGTATGCGAACCGGCGCGACACCTCCTTACGTGTTAAACCGGTCTGCGCGGTTTAATGCAGATGGACAGGAGGGAATCGCGGGAGTGTTGCAAGAAAGTAGTCGCTCAGATGATGCGTCGCGAAATATCATCTGCGAGGTAGACGCGGCAGGGTGCTGAATGCAAAATGGTGGGCCCAGACATCGAACACCTATGTACAGTTTCGGAAAGCACGCTGCTTGTAATCCTACGACCAATCATGGGACGACCAAACCGGTCCAGTGGAGCGCCCTTGTCATCTATCAATCAATATTGTGCTGTCTGAAGAGCACCCAAATGGATGCTTTACGCACCCTGACAGCCTCGCGGTACCCCTCGAGGGAGAACCTCACGTTGTCCCAGTACTGCTGGTCAACCTCCTTCACCTGAACGTAACAGTGACAAATAAATGAAAAAGCATTTGTCGATATAGATTTCTGTGTTGCACGCACACCAAGCACACGTTGATAAGGGACGAAGCACACGTTGATAAGGGCTAAGTTAAAACGTACAAAGACATTGGGCTTGGGAGAATGTCTTTTATCATTCTCGACTTCATATATTTCGTCTTCATTGTTTCCGACTGATGTTGACGTTGTCTCTTGGTTACCTCTCTTGTTCTCTGTTTCTATCCGTCTGTCTACAATCCCCTCGTTCTTTCTTTGGCCGTGTTTCCGCTTATTGTGGTTCGTCTTTCTTATGACCGCGACTGAATTCGTAGCGGGCTGATCAGTTCATGTGATATAAACAACAATTGCAGCGCTACCTGGGGAATATGAGGCGCGTGTTGGTTGCCAACATCAAGGTTATCCCACGAAGACAAAGCCCACACAAAATCAGTCACAACTATTGTTCTAGAAACCAGTGTGGATTTCACCACTCAAGTGTGAATTATCTCTCACGGTCCAAATCCCTTCGTTGGCGTTAAAAGCGCCGTCGTCGTCTTCACCGCCCCCGTTATCGTTGTAAGTCTTGAGTTCGCCTCTGACTGCCTCAATCAGGTCGTGGAGTTCCGTGTAGATAGGGATGCTGCGTTCGGGGTACTCCTTCAGGACCACCTGTCATGAGCGTAGCCACAAAACAAACGAGGAATTCGTTGCACGCGTAAAGAACAGCTCTCTTGAGGCGGCGCAAAAGGAGCCGGCTGACAAAAAGAAGGGAGCAACAAACAACTTTGATATCAACGAGCTGTACAGCGTGCAGGCAAAGTGGGCTGGTACGGAATCGGACGTCGAAGACACTGAAGTTCCACTTTCAAGAAAATGAGAAATCGAAAATGGAGCAAAAATGCTGAGCTCAAGCACACCTACAGATTCGGCGCATTCGAGGCGAAAGAGCTGTGAAAGTTGGGTGTCCACGAAATGTTGGCCTAACCCGAACCCTATCCCTAGGAAAATATCTGCAGAGGCGTTTGGCACGATCCTCGCGCGAAAAAAAAATCACACACCCTGAGGAAGCGAAGCAAGCGGAGGAGCTCGAACGTTTCCGGTGTGCCGGAGCCCAGAAGGCCGGGCAAGCCGTTCATGGCGTCGTTCCAACCAGGCTTTCCTCCGTCCATTTCCACGCCCATCCCCAGGGGGTCGAGTGTGGCGAACTTGATCACGGCCAAAGAAACCTGTGGTGACGTGAAAGCGTACATTAAGCACCAAGTGCTGCGTTGTTGTGTTGTTGTTGTTGTTGCTCATCTCTCGTGAACTAATCCTCTACGAGTCCAGCCGTGATCAGTCCCAAGCAAGACGGAACCAAATGACCGGGAACACGGTCAACGAAATAAAACAGGGAAAGTAATGAGAGAAAAAAAAAGCCTCAAGGGCGGGCTTGTATGCAAACCAGCGCGCCGCCTCCTTAGGTGTCAAGCCGGTTGCGCGGTTAATGCAATTCGACAGAAGGGAAAATAGACATAATGGAAGAGAGAAAAAGAGTGGTACATACGCCAACAAAGAACATCAACGCCGGGAAGGGCCAACGGACGAAACAAACAACAAAAACCAAGTCAAGAAGAACAGAAGAAAACATCCTCCCCAGCTGTAGTGCATATTATATTAAATCTAACCGACTTTGCACGTCACAAGACGGCTGAACATGGTCCAGTCCTTTATCCTCCCCAGCTGTAGTACATATCACCATTAAATTTAACGAACTTTGTATGTCACAAGACGGCTGAACATGGTCCTTCATGGTCCGGTCCTTTATCCTTTTGGACCGGCACGCCGGAAACGTATTTTCCGGATCCCTCCGAACACAAATCCTGGCAGCTGTCTGAACGACCGCCCTCGGAGACCTGTGACGAAAGGCATTCTAATCACCTGGCCACGACAAGAACACTAGACGAATAGCGATACCCTGGAAATCAAGGCAACTACAGCAAAAAAATCTCATTTCTTTCGCGGGCGGACTCACCAGCTTGGAGATGGCAGGAACGGCAAAAATCTCCCCGTTCACCGCCCGCTGCCAGTTAGCGCCGACCTCTTTCTTCCTGCTCTCCAACAGTTTCACTTTTTCCTCATCGTTGGCCACACATGTGTACTGCCGAACACCCCTCTCGGTCTCCTGCGTGCGTCACATGCGACGATGGGCAAGCGCCTCGAAACCCTCAGTCAACAACTCGAGCACCGTGTGCGCTGTTGCGTGAATCCGTGTAAGTTGACGCTTGATGGAAGGGCGTATGTTCGATGAAAACCGGAAAGCTGCGGGAGGGCTGCACCCAATGCGCGATAGCAAAGTCTCGGGAGGAATTGGGGGAGATGAGATGATTGATCCCTTTAGACCACGAATGGGGTCTGGGATTAGGCCAGATCGCTTGTACGTGTGACACGAAAACAAAAGAAAAGAAGAAAGGGCTCCGCAATAGAGCAACTCTATGCAGAGGGATTTATCGTGAAATTTCATCCTTTTCTTACCACGTATTTGTCGTCGCGAGGATTGACCTGACCCGGGCTCTGGAAGAAGGGCACGGGGTCGGAGTCGTACATGAGGTACTCCTTGTTTTCTGCGGACGCAACATTATGAACGGTAGGGGGTGTGTCATAAATAGTGATGGGTATCAGCCACAAATGGGGGTGGTTTTATGTATACATACGCTTGTTTGACCGAACGCGAGTCTTCCAGAGAAAAGCCTACTGCTAAAGCAGCTTGCTTTTGGTAAGAGAGACCGCGCTTGCCAAAACAAAATGAAAAATGTTTTCGGTGCGTACCTGGGTAGACCATGAGATAGTTCTCGATGAGGTCTAGAGTGTACGTCCAGTGGTCAGCCCAGAAGCCATTCTGCGCGAACGATGCGTCGGCCACTTGGCTCGCTGCCGTCGCAATGCTGCGGAGGAATTCCTGATGCCACAACATGGGGGATCGCGGGACAAACTCAATTGCGATCTTCTCAAAACACGTATGCATCACAGCAGCTCCTTTTCAAAATCGTGAGGGGGTACATCATTATTCTTCGTTACGATCTCACCCCTGCTATCCCTGCTATTGTGAGTACATGACACCGACGGTATTTGGTCCCTGCACAAGTTTGAAAGAGTTACGTAGTGGGACCGACCCGCTAATATAGCCTCGATCTGCGGCCCACTGAGGCATAACGTTCCACGAAGGAAACCTAAACATGAACGAATAGGGTTAGGGTTGGTTTATCATGCGCACGATAATGGACAACGGAACGTTACCGGCTTGGGTACGGTGAGGTGAATCTCCTGTACGTCCATGGAGCGGAACAGGTCTCCGGGGAGGAACGGCCTGAGTCGAGTACGTTACAGAAAACAGAAAAGGGGCGACAAAAAATAAAAGGTCGAAAAAACACCGGCCATGTAATCATCAACGCTCGGGTGCATGGCGTTTGTTGTAATCAACAGCAGAGATGAACGCAAATTTTGGGCTTTTCGGACCGTCAGAAAAAAGCACGACACACAATGGCAGGCCTACTCACTTTGACAGAAGTGCCGTGAGGTTCGCCGCAGAATGCGCGTCGGTGGCGGTTAGAGCCAGCTGCAGGAGACGAGAAACGGAGGAAAAATTAACGCTTTGAAAAAACGGTTCGAATCGCGGGACCATGGTAGACTCCAACGCAGAAGGGCCAGGGTCAAGGAAATACAACAAGATATTGACTATCGATGGGCTACTACGAAGACAAATATATTTCCTGGCAAATGCGCACTTGCATGCTGCATCACATGGGCTAACTGATTCGGGCATACGCTGTCGCCCTGGCACTTGGTTGTACAGATTTTCGAGACGTCCAAGTTACCGAAGGTGAAGAACTTAAAGCACAGAGGAGGCGTCTACTTTGCCGCCCGCGTCAGTACTGACGACTAATCCTAAGAAATGCAAAGCTCTTACAATACGCTCTGTTGAATTTGTACTGGGATTGTCAACAATTGCTCGGCAGGAAAGTGGAGCACCCACTACAGTCGACCATGATCAATGAGTCGAAGGAAAGGCTGCGCGACCAAGTGATTCGACTCCAACGTGAATGGTCGCCGCGACTCTTTTCGACTGGAAGAATGTACCACAAAGCAGTCGTTAGGCGTGCTTGACAAAGAAGGCAAGCTCACCGCAGAGGCAACGTCCTCGGAGGGAAGGGAAAACTTGGAGGTTCCAACGATCAGCGGGTTGTAGGCGTCCGCCTGCGTAAGGCTCAAGAATAGTCGCACATCGAAATCGCCCACCCGCGGCTCGTACACCTGCACTTATGTAGACAACGGCAGCACAGATCGCTCACGGGAGATTGACCCCTCGAGGTGGTCTCACCTCGAAGCTTGTACACGTATGTACGGCCACAGTGACTGCCTGCGGCGGGAAGCTCCAAAAGCTGAGCACGCGCTAGCTTGTCTTGCCGTAAGGAGGCTCAATCACGTATGCATCACGAATTTAAGGGCACCAACGGACACGAAGTCAATCCTTCGTCCTTCCACAAAGTACATATTTACGAAGTTACGCACAATTAGTAAGCCAAACTCTGGAGTCAACTTGACTCACCACGTCGGAACGGCGATTCTGGGCCACGTCTCGGAAGTTACCGGGGCCTTGGCTGCGGAATCGCGGGTTGCACGAACGGCAGGAAAAGTATGCAAAAGGCGAGGCGTGATTGAAATCAACGGATACCTCATGTTGTTTATCTCACAGTAACTTGTTCCGCTACGAATCTCGCCGTGATCAGTAACACGAAACGCGGACCCAACGACCGGGCGCACGGTCAAAGAATAGGGAAAGGTAGACGAAAGAGGAGAAAACATGAGAGGTAGCCAAGAGAGAAAATCAACCTCAGGGAGGGGCAACGAACAAAACAAACAGTAAAGTACCAAAAATACAAAAAACAGAGAACTTTCTCTGACATGAAGGAAACGGTGGACTCAAGGTGGACAGCAGTACCGAAGGGAGAAGTTCCCCCTTCCTCTTTTATCCGGAACACACACACGCAGCGGGATGTCACCTGAAGTAGGTGGATTCAATGACGAAGTCGTTGTAGTCGCGCTCCAGGTCGCCGTGCTTCCGGCTGAAAATGTTCAACACCTGCATCATCAGTCAGCGAGAGAAAGCAGTCCAGATCAGGTGGGGTCGTACGTGTGTCCCTCACTTTTGAACGGCAAATTTGTTGTTGTTTTTGTTGTTTATCCAGCCGTGATCAGTCACAAGAAAGCACTTCTACCCTGTTGCTGGCTGTTTCGTATCAACGTACGTGCTCTTCTGACAGCCCAAACTGCTTGCGTTCAACTATACACCTGCGGAGGGAACAAGTAGCCCAGGCAGAGAGTAATGCAATGTTCTGCGTCGCATGTAGCTCAGGGCAGCGTTCATGGCAAAAACCGCGGAGCACTACTTCCCGATAGGCCTTCTCGCAAAAGGCGCATTCGTCTCTCGCGCTACTTTGAGCTCTACGCTCACCTTCGCATCTTCGGCGTCTCCCATGATCGACGGCACCCCACCCCTCAGCAGATTGTCGAGGTACGCTTGCTTCACGAAGCCGTCGAAGAGAGGAGACCCAGACACCATCTTTACCCCCTTGGTGAGCCGTTCGGTCAGCTCTTCCGCCTCGATGAGCTTCGTCTGAACGAAGGAACGAGCGGTGATGGCGGGAATGATGACGTTGTTGAAGGTCTCCACGTCCCGTGCCTGCCCGTACGCGCTCGTGATGGTGACCGACTGGCCCGGCTTGAGGGTCACGTTCGCGGCGGCAAAAGCGCACGGGGTCCGTCCCCTGATCACCTGGTGATTTAACGCGAATTTTTGGTCGGGAAAGCCATGAGCAGCAAGACTTGAAACCAGGCCATTTTCCTGTAAACCGACGATGCATTCGTCCCAGAGCAAACAAGGTTGAGGCTAAGATACAGTTTTTGAGTGTAGTGCTTCGTGAGTATTATCTTGTGTACAAAACAGTTGTTCCTCAAGTGGAACGCCTCGTGCAAAACAACAGCTTTCTTGTAGCGCGAAGCATGCAGCGAGCGTTGACCATCTTGGAAACAGCAGCATGTGCAGAAAACACACGTGTGTACACAACAACGTCTACTACCTGCAGCTGTTCCAGTAGGTCCTTGAGCGGAGACAAGATGAAGGCCGTGGGTGCCTCGATGGCGGTATCTGCAGACATATAAGACGGGCGCATGGTGAGAGTATCGTACTGTAAACCGTTTGCCACGCCTCTCAACAAGCTCGTATAGGTTGCTACTAGAGTAGGTGTGCCACTGCACGTTACGCCACCCGCGTATTTCAACTCCACAGTACACATTCCCGATGTTTCTCGTGCGTGATTGGGATGCAACAAGTCGGCAAAAAACGGGGCTCTCGACGAATACCGCTCGGTTTGGAGAAAGGGCGCCCGGCATCCATCCGCACTCACCAACACCCCCAAAGACGACCGCAGGGTCAACGATAAAGTCTAAGAGCTCTTCGTGTCCCTCGTCCCCCTGCACGCCAAGAGGTTGCAGAGGCAGCTCATAAGAACTAACAGTCAGTGCTGCCCGGTCGTACCCGCTACGAAGTGAGGATTGCATCTACATTTTCGGCGTTCTTGCTTGTCCACTGAAAATAGTAGAAATAGTTGAGGTTTGGTAACAAAAAAAAAATGGTTTTGGTCGCTCCACACAGCAGCGGATAACTACTTCAACAGCATGGAGGGATGCACGGTGAGCCGTTCTTTCAAGCTGCAAAGGTGGCTGCCGATGGTAAATTGTTTTTTTGTATCGCGTTTGGTGCACGCTTTTTAGAGCAATAGCATGTGCATGTGAATGTACTACCATAGCGGTCACAGGTCATTATTCAGGTTGTTGTTTGAATGTTCCACGAACCGGGAGCCCCCTTGCACATCGCATTAATCAGATCCGTCGTGTGCAACTACAATTTATCTATCTCCCTTGTTAGGATGATTTCCTACCGTGGCGCACCTCAGTCTCCAGGAAAGAGATGGCCCAGTTGCCCTGGGTGATGATCTGGACCTCTTCGGTGTCCGCGGTGCCCTGGGACAGGCGGAAGAAGGGGGCCTTCTTTTCTTCGCCGTCTACGTTGTGGACCTCCATCCAGGCTACGGTCAGCGATCGTTTTTTGAAGATGGGTGGAGTAGGCGCAGTGACGAGTTAGACGGGATATGTACAAGCGCTTCGGTGGGCATATTGATGTTTTCTGCTCGCTTGATGCCGTCAAGCCCAGGGGAACGCGTCTCACGAGCGTGAAGCTACAATACTTTCTGATGTTCAATGCTGGCTATGGTTGTCGCACGCACATCTTTCTTTGGCCGTGTTCCCGGGTATTTTGGTCCGTCTTTCTTGTGACTGATCACGGCTGGATTTCGGAGCGGATCAGTCAATGATAGATAAACAAATAAACTACCACAACCTATTCGATCAGGTCGTATCTCAATCCAGCTTGTGGTCAGAAGCTACGTACGATATACATGGACATCGGGCTAATTAGACGCTGCCGATCTGTTTGCCCAAGGACAAGGGCTTTAGTCTCACTTACCTTCGAAGGTTCGCGCCATCACCTTGTAGGGAAGATCTTGGAGACCGTAAGGCAAGACACGCGCCATGCCATCTAGAGCCTGCGCATTTGTTTACGGAACACATACATAATCGTTGCGACGTGGAGCGAACGGCAGGTGCAACGGGTGTTCAAGATATCTATCATGTATCTGTCGCGACTTGTCCGCGGGATCAAACACGTGACCTACCGCAGGGTTAAAAAACAAGGCCAGAGTGACATCTACAAGCCCGCAACCCTCCCCCCGAAAAAAGGCCCTTGTATACCATCTGCGATGGTAGGGGCATGCCGGTCAAGCATTGACACGGCATGGCACAAGATCGCCGCCGCGCAACAACTCCGAATTGTAAGAGTTGAGTACCTCAATCTCGAGGGTCTCTGAGTCGTGCGTGTTAGTCAAAGTAGTCCTGCGGATGATGGCGCCAAAGTCCTCGTTCGGCACCTCGTAGTACTGCACCGACGCATCGAGGTCCAGATCGTCATTCTCTTCCCTAATCTCCAACTGCATGCCGCAGAACACAAGACAGAAGCGGGGACAACCGGAAAGGAATAGTGTCGACACAGTCAGGAGTATCACATATATTACTTTCCGTTATGAGATGATGCAGGGGCATTCTAATGACGGGTATGGCCGCCAGAAATACAGGCAAGACAGAAACAGGGCTTCTGCGAGGAATCATGTAGAGGACGCATGGAAGTTTGTTCCAAGGTACAACGAGAGCAGTTCTCAATAGCCAATTGGCCAGAACATCTTTCTGCGACAACATCATCGCCACAAGCGATCGCAGGAGGTAGCGTGCTGAGCTCACCTGCCGAACAATTTTTGCATCCATAAACACTGCTATCCGTACGCATATGAGCTATCAATAACCAATGTACATGCCAAAAAAATTATGACAGAGTAGCCGTGCGATTTCAAGCTCAAACTTCTCAACTCAGCTTCTTGAGCAGCCGGATCTTGTCGCTACGCATACTGCTGCGTGGTGGGGTCTTTTTACTGATTACGAGACAACGCGAAAACAACATGTCAACCGTAATGGTATACTGGTTCACCTCGTTCATGCCGATGTGCATGTTTCGCCGCATCTTCCGCCCTCCTTCCTGCTTGACGAGCTCCCCCGTCGACTGTGAATTCATGGTCGTTTTCAAGCAGCATGATACAACAGAAAACACGTATGTAAAAGCGCCGGAAAACACACACTAATCGATCCAGTAAAGCATACTGTATAACAGTAGAGGTGGGCTAGGCGAGAAGAAACGAATTCTGTCTCGTGTTGCCGCAGGAGTTGCACATGATACAAAGACAACCAGGTAAATAGATCCAGTGCGGCCGTTTTGGAACCGCCCGAAGTTACGCTGAACTCGAGAACAAGAGAATCTTGATCCTACGAAGTCGGACAGGGCACGAGAGTCGACTTTGACGACTGGCCAGCGGTTTCAGCATGTAGGCCTTGCGACACGGCTTGGGCAAGGGGTAGGCGGCGCGATACCGCTGAATATTTCACTTGAACCCATAAAAGGCACAAGCACACGGTTGAGCTCAAGTTACAACCACAGCAGCAGCAGTATCATCACTCCATAGCACCAAGCTTTTCTTTCACCTCGGGGAAAAATGGCTGATGCACCCAAGTCTTGCCCTTGCGAGTTCCCTTGATAAAGGTACGGAAGCCGACCCAGGGTACCTCTTGGTAGGCGAGTGAGGCGGGCAGGAACTCCATCATGGCACCGTCTTTATTGACGGATCCCACGGAAACCATGCTCTGCCCCCGGTTGTTGTAGAACGCCTGAGTCGGGAAAATTCGGTCCATAATGCGTGCAACAATGTCAACAAGCGTCTTTTGAGCCACATGCTCGGTTCAAGACACCTGCGGGATTGTAGAAGAAAGCCAAGAATCACTGTACTGTGGCCTAGAGATTAAGAGGCGAAGTGCAAACCTGGCTGAACATAAAACAGCAGAAGAGCGCTGCAGCTTGGGCGGAACGCACAACATGAGATGGCATGTCCGAAGTGAAAATATACAAATGTTCAAAATGTTCTAGAAACAGTACGGCCTTCCAAGCTGGGAGTACATTATGACCTGTCACACATCGGCAGCACATTGAAATTCTCTGCGATGTTCTCACATAGAGTGGAGTGCCCCACTCGCCGCCGATGCCGGGCAAGAAAGAGGAGAAGGGTTTCTGCATGTCGTACTCTCGGAAGATGAAGCGGCCCTTGTCGTCGAACTGCTCTTCTGCTCAACGAAAGCATTTTTTTGTTGTCATGGACGAGCATTGGAACGAATAAACAGAACAAGCGCATGCAGCTGACCCAAAACAACACACCGGAAAACGGGAAACACTAAGAAAGAACGAAGATCAAGAATTGAGCAAAGATTCGGTTCAGGAAGCATCTTTCAAAAAGCAAACAGATAATCAAAGAAGGAACATCCCCACACACCAGACGGGACTCCGTGCAGTGAATTACATCGCAATTCCCCACAGTAACGTAATATGGTTTTGTCAAAGTATTACGAGGATGCACGCAGGGCCCCCCGTTTCAGCCCGTACTTCCTGTGAGATAACACGAACGACGCGCAGCGTATGAGGAGTCCCGATCGCAATTTTGGTATCAAGAGAGGACACCCCTACCGTGTACTTTGTAAGTCAAAGTTAAGTTACCGGAAGACAATCGTTTTTTCTGGTCCTCATGTCTTTTGTGTGTTGTTCATCTTTCCCCGTCCGCCAAACTTGGACCTAGCTCACACAATAGCAGCAGCAATCAGCCATGACTCTCTGCCGGTAGATGTGTCGTCCGTACACCTCACCGTGGTCTCTACCGTTCTTGCTGGAGTGTTGCGTGGAAAGCTCGCTTTTGGTGTGCTGCTCGACAGCTGTGCCCTGCCGAGACAAAAACACGCTCGCAAGTCCCACCACGCCGAATGCAGCTATGCCCATAACAGCCCGCTTGGGCAACAAGGCCCGAGAAGATCGCGCGGCTCCTGCAGCAGGGACAGGCACCAACAACGTATTGCTAAGCGCATGCATTCTGCCCTGTTTGCTTTCCTCTCATGCGCACGATTGGATGTGACCCCGACGACCGGACGACGGCCGCGTCCGCTCTTGTAAACAGCTTTCCATCTCCGTAACCTAATCTCTTACCTTCATCTTGAGGCACAGGGCCAGACGCTTGGTAGCCAGCAAATGTCTCGTCTGCCTGACTACCCATGGTGCGCTACCTCCAGCTCGGTGACAATAACCCTTCTTTGGAGCTAGGCGGTGGGCATTAAGACAAAGAGGCCACGTCGCGAGACTGTCCGCTTCTTTTTTTATTTATCGCCTTTGAACTTTCAATCGCGGAGGAACGTCCGGACCTCCGCCCCTCCGCCGACGAACAGACCAGTGTGTGAACACTCTGAAACACAGCAGCCCAACCCCAACCCAGTCTTCAGACACGGTGAGCGCTTGACTTAGTCGACTTGAGCTCCTGTTAGCCTCACCAGCTTCGAAGGAAAGAGCGCTTGGCGCCCCGAAAGGGCACCAACGGGCGAAAACGTAAAAACAACCAAAAGAGCCAACCAAGCCGTCGTCAGCTCATCTTTTTCACGCGAGCCTTTTTCTGTCACATCTTCCCCCGCCCACACAGCAGTATCATCTCACCACTCCCCCGTCAAGTCGGCGTGGGTCAAGGGCTACCGGAGACAAGCAGTCATGAAGGAATTCCGTGAGTGTTTATAGCGTGCGCGACCTTGCTCTACGTGTGGCTCATGCTCTATGGTTGTCTTCGCTCATGTTTTGGGGTCAAACGGTCCTGCTGTCGTGCTGGGGGATCTCGGTTTCCATTTCCTAAAATCAACCTTGATGGACCGTCCGTTGTTTCCACTGTCAAGCAGAGAGCGTGCCGATGAACACCGCCGAGGACTCGGCCAAGCTGAAGCGCAACCAGGTGAGAGTCGCAAGTGATTTGGGACCCGAAATTCTTGCTTTGGGTGGATCTGAGAGAAAAAAATCACACATCATTTTTCGAATCACACCATTCGATGCATGCGCGTGCCTCGCCCCTGACCACGCGTGCGTGTATAATGCTCTTCGGCCAGTGCCCTGGGTTTCGGGCCGGACGTCTATTGATCTCACTAAGGCTGTCCCCTGTTCCGCGCTCTCGCGTACGTGCGCCCCAGGCATGGGTCTACTCTGCTACCTTCATCTCGTACGCTATGTCTCACTTCTCGAGGAAGTGCTACACGAACGTGAAGAAGCAGCTGGTCGTGAACGCAGGCATGAGCAAGTCTTTGCTCAGCCGCCTCGACACCGGGTACGATCCTTCCCCCAAATTCATTTTTACTCATTCGCCCACAGCTCTCGATGATGTTGGCCTCTGCGCGAAAAGACAAGGCGTCAAGAGATCGCTTCGTGTTGTTTGATTTCTCGAAATACACCGGGGAACTGTGCTGTCCGTCCCGTCCTTCGACGCTTGTTTCATCAGGTTCATGCTGAGCTACGCGATCGGAGGCTTCCTGAGCGGCATGGTCGGCGACCGGATGCGCATGTCCACGGTTATTGCGGGGGGGCTCGCCGGGTCTGCGGTGTGCGTGCTTCTGCTGGCTGGGGGAGCAGCTGACCACTTGCTCCAGAAGACGGTGAGGCGTGCAGCCAGACAGCAGTCCTGCAGGCGTTAGATCAACGCATGTGCGGCATGGGAGTCGTGCCGAAATGCTCAAATGCGCGATCCTCATCACACGTTAAGGGTGGGCAGCCAACCTACCGTAATCTACACGAGATAACACACCCCCGCTGGTACATTTTTGGCTAAAAATATTATCACCGGGTGTGGTATCCTGGGGG